TAGGATGCTGCTACTAAGATGGCAAGCGTCCTATTTTTAAACGTCCACCAGCATCCTAAAGGTGTCGTCGTAACATCCTAAAGGTGTTAGCCACCTAAGGACCTAAGGACCCTTATAGCTGGAAAAGTGTATAATGTCTACTCATTTTGTTTTTCATTCCCTTCGAATGCTTCGCTAAATTGACGGGCACAGACTCTAATGTCTCCGAAAACCTGCGGTGACGGTGCTAATATATCATGCAAAAAGACAGTGAGCAGTTACTGAGGCGTGTTTTTTCCTTGTATGACGGCACTGTCGCATGCGTCGTACGAAAACCTTGGGAGACGCTTAAGCTTCGCCTTTAAGAGATCAAACGCGATAGCGTTATCAGGTGCCGTTCGCCAAGCTTTCTTATAGAAACGCGCGCTCGTTCCCAAGTCGTGCGGGCGTGTGCGCGTGTGACGTCACCTTTCGCGTGACGTCACACGTTGCTTTGACATCATAACCCTATCGACCCGCTAAATTTGGGGGAAATTTTCCCTCCTAATCTAGAGGGTAAATCCCATAATGCAATGCGCGCCGCCCCGTGTCACCTCACGTGTGACGTCGCACGTGGCTGCGCGCTTTGCATTATGAGATTTATTGGTCCCACCGACGCCGACGCCAGATTTTCTTCAACAAGAGCTTCTAAACGCTATCCCGTTAAAATTGCCTACAGACTTGTTCGAAGCATACATGTGCATGAAGCAAACAAGGTTCAGTAATGCTTGAGGGGTGTGCGCAGTTATTTAACTCTCCTATAATGTATGCGGCGAACTTGGGTGTTTCGTGGAATATACAAACTCTTTTCTCTAGTATCCGAGTTATCGGGAATGCGGGGCCCCGCAACCAGCGGCAACGAAGCAACAGCAGCGGCGGGCTTACAGCGTCTCCCGCAGTTGATCTCGGCAGCGAACCCAAGGAGATTTCGAGGTTCTTCCTTCCCGCGTGAAAGAAACCCGGCTCTATCGGGAACCATAATCTCTGCTCGCGAGGAGCAGCCGATCGAGCGCGCGCGGGCGCGGTATGTTTTCTTGTCGCTCTGCCTCGCTTCTCGCACGTCTATGTTCCCCGCCATAAGAAGCGATTTAGATTTGAGCTCTCGCGAGACGCAAACCTAAATCGCATTTGGACGAAAAAAAAAGTTTAGAGAACGCTCAGGCTCTACGCCTCCAACGAAGCTGTGCAGTCCAAAAAAAAAAGAAAAATATATGGCAGTAATAAAGCCTCCCTGGATTGTTACAGTCTGCCCTTTCGCTAATCCCCAAAAGGAAGGAAGCGCCTTACTGGCGGCTGAAACAAAGTACTCCACCATTTTATACCTATACTCCCCCCCCCCCCCCCCCCCCCAAACTTATTTTAGTGCGTGTTTTATTTTTGTTTTTGGTTCGAAGCAATGACAGAAACACACCTGCCACTCGTGTGAATTGCGTCTCCCACTATATTTATACAGATATACGAAAATCTAGATGTATTTATTTGTTTTAAATAAAGATGAAGGCGCCAGTAACAAGATTGCGATCCGCGAGTAAGTGGCACAAAGCTGGCGTCTGCTGCCACAGCCATCTCCGTTATTAGGCGAAGTTTCCGAGTTGGAGTTTCGAGAATCCAGACACAAACAATGAGAGGACGGAGGTGCATCTGCCTCTGGAGCTCGAAACTACCGACACGATTGTTTGCGAATCTTTGAAGCGTATTACATTCAAAAACAAGCTGCGGAACGCTTGAAAAACGCTATTTTGGGAAAGCAAGAGCACACCACTACTATTTTTGTTAGAGATGTCGCGAGGCCCCCTTTGTTTGAATATTTTAATAGCGAACTCTGAGAATTTACGTGACACTTGTAGATTGATGGGTGAAAAATATACCAGAAGTCGTAGTTTTTTGTTCTTTTTTACAGTCTACAAATTGTGTTTCTTCACGAGTTCATCTGTTGTCTCTTTCTCTCTGCTGGGACACGCAACATTCTCTTATCCAAAGTGTGAAGGACTTGAGTGCGCAAGCCGAGGCGAGACAGTGCAATATGCAGTGGGCAGACCCTACATTAAACCCACTCCTTAAACACGGCGCAATATATTATAGAGTTCAGTTCTGAGAGCGATTTTCAAATGCGCTTTTATTGATGTGCCAGCACACTCGCACACAGCACTTCCTGCAAAGGCCCACTCCCGCACTTGCACCACTTTTCCAGATAGCTTGTGAGGTTGCATTGTCTAATAATGGGAACATTACATTTAATTACACTTTTTTCATATTACGCGGTATCCCCCCTCCCCCCTCCCCCAAGCTTCAGCACAGTCACTGCCAGTACCGAGAAAACATTTTTTTTAATGAATTAATTGTCTTTCTTTAATATATCTTCAGTGCCTTTCAGAAAGCAAAGACGGGGATCACGTGTCCGGCACTTGAATAAAAGCCCGTAGACACGCGCAACGAAAAGTGAATATATATCTTTCGAATAATCAACACGAGGGTCGCCGATAGTCCGTTTCAATTTATGAATAACTAATCGAAGCATAACTATAATACTCGTAATGTCTCGGACCAAAACGGCGGAGCTGGTATACTCTATTGCCTAAACCCCGCAGCCAGGCTGCTCCCATGCGTCGCACAAAAAGGCAGGACCAGCAGCATATGATCGGAAGAAACACGTTACAGACAGTTTTCGCGCTGACTGTCTTCTGGATGATTCATTGGCAGTGTGTCCGCGGGTCTTAATTGAACATGTTGTTACGGTTACCTTCTCAGTTGCTTCACTACTCTTCTAGAATAAGAAAAAAACAAAACAAAAAACAGTTATTTATGCAAATCTAGAAGAAAGAAAACATTTACTATGCCACGCGTCCGACTTTACTCCGCCAAGTTGTTTTTTGTTGTTATTGTTTCTCTTTTGTTTGTGTGTGTTTAGAGTTTCGATTACGAAGCATCAGAAACGAAGAAAAAAATACATCGAGTTCAGCGGAGATGATGGATGACGTGAGGATGCGTATATTACGAGAAACGCGGGGGGAGCCGCCGCCACCACTTTGAAGCGAAGCGCGCGCGTTAATGCTGTTTAGAAGGGAGGACCGGCGAGCGTCGGCGTCCGATGCGAGACAATGCTCGATTTCCTCGGCGCGAGTGAGGCGAATCAAATATTCAGCGGCGTCCGCCGACCGACCGACCGACCGCCACGGTCCCCTCCCGGTAGAAGGCGAGCGCTTCCTCATCTCCGCGAAAACGCATAAACGGAGCCGGGGGATGCCCGGACCTGTTTCAGGACGCCCTTAACGGATCGTCCGTCTAACGGGACGGGACGCTGAAGCAACCGCCAAAAGAAGAAAGCCGCCGCGATGCGATGCGAGCCCACCGCTCCTCCCCCTATTTGCGTCGGTTGCACCGCGTGTATCCTCGGCTCTCTCCTTGGACTCCTTGTTTTTGCTGATGGACCTTCCCTAGTGTCCTCTAGTTTGTGGAGTCGCTACGTAGTACGTATGCTCATGTATACTGCGCTTATCGTAAGTGACTGTTTTTGATGGGGATGTACACGAGAAAAGAAACAAAAACGCGCCATTTGGTTTTGTTGTTTGTTTTGTTTTTGTTTGTTTGTTGCGTTCTTTGTTGTGTGCTTTCGGAAGAAGTCCCGGAGGGTGTATTAAGGTGTCGTTTAGCAAATTGTAAGGGTTTAAATGTCGAAGAGGATTGGACGGTGGTCTTTCTTGCTCGTGCATATGATTTGGGAATGATGTTAGTACCGGGAAAAGGGGCGTACGAGGATTGAATGAGGGGAGGAAAAAAAATGTTTTCGAATTGAGTTGCCTGCGCGCGCGCTTTCGTGCAGTAAAGGCGTAAGGAGCGTTTTGTTTGTTTGTTTTTCTCGAAAAATAACTTGACTTTGACTGATATTTTGTTTTTATAAAAACAAAGCTAAGGCTAGATTTCGGTTTTCTTGCGAGAGATTTAATACATTTTTAACTGTTAAACAGTCATTTTCTTAAGTACCTTTCTGACATACAGAAGTTTGAATCAACTGAGACAGGTTAGAACGGAGGCCCAACATAAATTGCCTCCGCATTTTCACTTAATACCCCTTCAGGGACGATATATATATAAATATGTATTCCAGCGTGGGTGTGTGTAATCTGTGAGTTCCCCTTCGGACTTTCGGAATATGAAATAGAAAATCAACACAAGGAAACTTTTCGGATATACGCCGCTCCACTTTAAGTCTGACCGAAACCGACGTCCTGCTGAGCCAATCAATCAGCGCGAAAAGTGCTTCGTCATGAAGCTCGTCGCCTTTATGCGTTCGCTATTAAACCGATTACGCACAAAAAGAGCGCAGGATCGCGGCGCCTTCCTACAATGTCTGATTGGTGCAGTCATTGATGCGTGAAGCAAGTCGTCTGCTTCCTGCGCAGGAGTTGCGGGGACGCCAGAAAGAAGCCGAGCTGTGATTCGTTGTCGCGCTGATGTCAGAAAGAAGCCGGGCTGTGTGTGATTCGTTCTGATTGAAGACTAGTGGGTAGAGCTCAAAGCAAGCCGCCCTGAGGTCTACCCACTACCCTTCATTCAGCACCAATCAGAGCTCGGCGTCTCTCTCTGACATCACCGCAACCCCTGCGCAGGAAGCAAAGGAACTTGCGCTCCGCATGCAGAAAAAACGCCCAAAGGTGCGCCGTGGCAATGCACTTTGAGCGCCGATTGATCCACTTCATCGGATTTTGTAACTTCCGCTGCGGCCGAACTTCAAGTGAAGCGGGTTACAGTCGGGGTTCCAGTGCGCACAGAATTCGAATCTGTCGTAACGTTTGTTTGAATCGACTGGACTAACCCTTTGATGCTCGTTACGGTATAGTTACTAAAAGCGTCCAGCTCAAGTGATCGTTTTCTTGACCAGTGATGTTTCTTCTTTTGTTATTACTGATATTAGAAATGCTTTATATAGTGGCAATACTCGTCCTCATAGCGCACTGTCTTCCTTCTTCTTTTTTTTCTTTCAGGCGGCCTGCCGTCTCTTGCTGGCCTTCCTCGCCCCGGCAGCTGGCTTCTGGATCCCCTGATGCCCCCCCTGTGGCCCCTCGGTCTCAGGGCCGACCCCCCTCCCCCTCTATGGCCTTTTCTGCACCTGTACCCGCCGTCGGATGCCCACCTACTCTCGCCTGGTACGTCTAGCCACCGGTCTCCTATAGCTTCGTTTCATCGCGCGTGTCCGAGCCCAGTCGAAGGCACCGCCACGCGCAACCAGGAACGCACATATGCATTCTAAAAGCGCGAGTCACTGGACCTTTCATGGACGGGAGGGGTTTGGCGATGATTGAACGCGTGCAGAAACACGACGAACACCATGACGTTGTGCTTCTGACGATGTTTCATTGGTACCATCAGCTCATAGTGTCGGCTGCACCCGGACTTATAGGTGCATTCACAATGGCGTACGAACAGCAAATGCGAAGCAGATCCGCTCGTTTTCATCATCAAGTGTGCGTGAAATTTTACCTGTTCGCAAACGCGGTTCAACCGCCAGTGGGAACACGGCGTTAGGGTGAAACGAAGTATGGTTTTCACATTATCAAAAAGTTGGCAGCGCCTTCATCTCTAAAGCTTCGGGATGCATTCAAGGCCGTATTTAAGGAGTGATGGTTTAAATTTGCTGAGACGCTTACAGTCTTTTCGGAGAGTAAAAAGTCTTCATTTTTTTTTTTTGTCCATTTCCTCGCTACACATTCAAAGGCGAAACTAAATTTGTGATGGATTACGCGAGGATAATTTTCCTTCTAAACTTAGCTGGGAAACTTACTCGGTGCGCAGATAACGTGACGTCAAATAGCCCGTTAAATTTCGTGGGGACACTCAATTGGCGTATAAGTCACGTGACACCAATTTTCCCGCTAAATTTAGGGAGGAAACAGACGGCCACGTGACATCAATTTCTTCACTAAATTTTGCGGGAAATGTACGGAAAAAGGGACGGAGGGATGGACGAACAACCGCTTGGGAATTAGGGGGTTTCGTGAAAGGCCATTTCAGGTTTTAGAACAATATGTGTTTATTCTCGATGATGCGTAGAAAAATGCACCATCATAACACAAAAGAAAAAAACACGAATATATGGCTCCTCAACGGCCATCGCCATGCGCAGCCACCCACAAAGAGGCCGCGTAGGTTTCGAAACCTAGGGTCCCTAATTATGGCTTGGTTGGAGGTTCCCCTTTTAAATTAGTCTTGTCACAGTCAGGCAGACATCTGTCAAATGTTCACGTTCACATGCTTACTGGATCGCGGAAGACGCTTTTCCTTTTCAATGACTAAACTGGATATAAGGCGACAGGTTATTGGCGTTACACTTACGCCTCGTTCACACTAACGGTTGTACTGCAATCTCGAAGCGGTTGCGTACGTGCTTGGTTAATGATTCAGCGTATTTTCACGCGTCTTCGATAACGAAAACGACCGTATCCGCTTCGCGGTTCCGATTCGAACGCCAATGAGAATGTAGCGTAATATGAGCTCCTGGGAGTGTGAACAAATCGCCGCTTCGTAATGCTTTACGGCACGTTTACACTTGCGGATTCGCGGGGCGGATCTCCGCAAGCGGAACTCAGATTTTGGAGCCGGGACGACAAAATCAGCTTGACGCAGGCGGAAAATCTGGATCAGTCCGGGACCCATGTCCAGACTTTTCCTCCAGCGACGAGTGGATTTCGCCACGCGGCTCCGCAATCCAGTTTCCCACTGCGCGGTTCCGCCCGCGAACCCGCAAGTGTGAACGCGCCATAACGCGGCAGTGACGGACACCATTGACGCGTGGTCCCAATTTTACCTTACTGGCCTTTTTAATGTCTGCAAAAAAGGTGCGTTAACCGTCGTTAATCTACCTTTCTAATTGAGAGTCTTCGTAGCCCGTTTTCCCTCTTCCGACACGCTGTCTCTAACGATGACGCCACTACTGCGCATGCGCGCCGCTAGACTCGTCAGCATGCCCGGATCTTGTAGCGGTCTACGGGGAGTGTTGCGGGACGGAGGAAACGCTCTATACAACAACTCTTTAATGGGGAGTTTTAGTCGATCGTTCCGATATGACTCCGACAACTGTACTTAAAGGGGGACCATGCAACGACGTTGGAATGTTTGTCATTTTACACAACCTTACTGGCACTCGTGGGAGCCAAGAATGTATACTCGAACGTAAAGCCACTAACCGAGAAGTGTCTTAGTCACGGTAAATTTCGAAAGACAAAAGTGGACGTTTTCTTTCAGTCTTTCATTCGCAAAACTTGATGATGAACTTGCGGGGACAACGCCAACAATGCAATCCCCGACATTTCGTTGCCGAGCTTCACACGGCCCCCACTTTAACGATATTTGAATGCGGCTCATGCGGTGGACCCGAGCAGTGCGTGGGCATTTGATCCTGGCTATGTGACATTCAATGCCTCTCTATGCATTCGGGTGGTGACTCGTACGCAATCACTACAATGCACGGAACTCACCGCGTGCCCTGTGCCCTTAGCGCGTGGCTAGAAACATTGCCGGAATTTAATTCAATCGACATCACATGGCCACGCTCTGCGTGGAACGCGCAACGCTAACCCAAAACGGACAACGAATTGAGCTAGTTCGTATGCGGAATACTAAAACTCGCTATTATGTGGCAAGCGGTCTTGTTCGTCTGTTTTGCTTAAACCTAATATTTACGCACCAGCGTCATTAGATTACACTATACAAGAAGTACCACAAAACGCCAAATGCCAACAACGTATTTCTATAATATAATTTCCCTAAAGCCCGCAAAATGCTGTCTTCGTGAACTCAAAATTCGCGTAATGTTTTTCTCCCCTCTATAATTAGAGCCAAATAAATTTTCGGAATGCCGCATTAAGAAGCAAATAATATCCCTCCATGGAGATTTGACTGGAATGTCGCAGAATAGAAATACTCATAGTTTAAACCGTGTCTTGTTTTGTGCCGCTTTTTCAGCCATTTTTTGTTTCTACGTATCTCGGGATCTAGATTATGATGTTTCCTAATTAGCTCACCGGCGTACTTTCGTTTCTTGCAAAAAAAAAAAAAAATAGCTGTCTTTTTTTTTTTTTTTTATGTATATTTTGTACCTGTCGCGTTGCTTTCCTCGGGACATAAAAGTACGAGGTGCTCGTAACACGAAAAAGAAAAATGCAATGCGCGATCGTTAACAATCTTTAAGATAATTTAAACATTTAAACTATACACTGAATCACTTCACATGAATTATGTTTATTTTGCTATACTATAGTTCTAATTTGCATGTAGACTTTTGTGCCAAAATATGCCCACATAGCTTGTGATACGATCATAACATATATTCATTTCACTTTTTTGGTGCTCCTAAACAACCCGGGGGCCTATGGAAGGGTGCACCAATTGTCAGATACACATCGCATAGATGCAGAACGTTTGTTGGAGAAACGATACAAACGCATAGTAAATCAAGAAAAGATTGGACAGAACATAGTGGAAAAAAAAAAGAAAAGCATTACTAGTAGCGTTGGCGAGGTATATTTAAAAAATATATATAGGTAGTCAGTGTCAAAGAAACATGTACAGACCGCAATCGATAAAAAATTATTCGCAGTTGCGTCCGGTCAGGTATAAACTGTTGCGACACAAAAGTTCAAAGAAGAAAAATTCACACAGCGTCTTTCTATACATACCAGTACTAGAAAAAAAAAAGGGAAAATATTCATGTGAAAAGATTTAGCAGAAATCGAGTGGTAAAATATTTCCCCAAAAATATATCTCCCTCAGGCTTGTTCATTACTGCCGACGCATTAAACGCATACTGGATACTGGATGTCAGAATAAATATCCTGTATAGCTAGTATGCTGGGCTAAAATTCCTCATATAGCTTGGTGGTACGTTTGCTATATGATGTCTGCTAAAATAGATCGTCATCTTTCGCTGAAACACCTTTAGCTAAGGTGAATCGTTGTAGATCGGTTAAGCAGCATCGAAAGTAGTTAGCTCAATCTACGCGATTCAGCACCGTTTGCCTACTCCCCGGCGCTCACTGGAAACCTCTCACGGCTCCCGGTTGGCTCCGTTCAGTTTTGCCGGAAGCGAAAAAACCAGCCCGGAAAGCAAGCCGAGCAGGGCGGCGAGGCGACGTCGTTCCGCCGGGTCTAGATTGATCCCCGCGACCCCGTATCCCGGTTATCGAAAGATAATATTATCCTTCCCCGACACGGAAGGGGGGGAGAACAACAGGGAAGAGCAGAGAGCGGGAAAGGGGCTGCTGCGAGTTCGTACGGCACCCGAGGGAAGCATATATAGGAAATAAGAGGAAACATAACAATAGGGAAAAGTGTCCCGCGTCTTGCCGCACGGCTGACGCTTCCGATTGTTTTGCTGGTGATTCGGGAGTGAATTATCCCTCTCTACCTATTTTTTTTTTTCTTCAGCTATACCGCGATTAGATTTTGTTTGGGATATAATTCGAGAGTCTGCCAAGTCGTTGACGGTCTGTTCTCTCAGAGCAAGTGTGGTGTCGGTCGGGGATCGTGAATGTATGTACGGGAAAACGAACACGGGGGAGGGGGTGCTCGCTCAATGGGTTCGGGATTGTTTGTCGACGCGTCCGCGCGCTAGAGGGACCAGGAGGGAGGTAAGGGAAAAAGGGAGCATGCTCAATGGGACTGGGTCACGTGATCGTGCCAAAGAGGGTCAAATCTTCGATTTCAGAAATGTCTTTTTTTTTCCTGTGGGGTGGGGTGGAGGGGAAGGAGTAAATGTTTTGTTGGGGCTGGTCACTGCACGCGTTTGCTTACGACATTTTTCTGCCTTTCAAAGCTGCTTGTGTTTATCTTTATATCTTCCTTTTAAAGGGAACACTATGTTCGATGGGAGCTAGGGGATGATCCTGTTTCGCAGTCGTTTTGAGGGTTTGTGTTCTTGTTCAAGCATTGTTCGGGCAGTGTGTGTGTGTGTGTGTTGGGGGGGTTGTTAGGAGAGCACGCTATGTACGGGGAATCCAACGTGTTTACGAAAGTTCTTTCTGATCTGGCTTTACGAGAGTGTAACAAGATTACTTTTTTCTGTGTGGTGAGACGAAGTAATTTATTTAGGAATAGAACCGGTCTTTCTGTATTTCTTACTTTCGACAAAAAAAGGGCATTCGAAGGAGGA